CATGTTAGTGTGAATTCCTACTCCTGGCGGGAGCAATCAAAGTGTACATTGACCAGCACGTGTACAATGCCATGCCACACACCTCAACCTGCATCCTCCCTGGCTGAGCCAGGTACCACTATCAGAGACAGGTCACAAGTAACTAGAAGAGGCAAGTCCAACAAGTTTCCATTTTCATGGCAGACAACGTCAGGGCATACGGCTTCAGGGCAAACAGCTTCTCACCAGTTCTGGTAGCAGTTGTGGTCACTTTCCCTAAGTTGAGCTCTCTCCCTGTCCTGCTCACAATTCCAGTCCTATCTGGGGTATCAGGATCTCTCCAAGTATTCCTTAGCTGCGGAATACCAATCACTGGGAACTCAAATTTGCAGAAAGTGCCCCTCCAAGTCCCATGGTGGCAAGCTACGAAGTACAACTGCTGTCCTCTTAGGGTCCACGTACACTGCTAGCTGATAAACTGGAGCTGTTCTGCGTTTTTTTCAGCAGCCCCTGAACTCTCCCTAATGCTTTCCTATGTGTCCATGTACACATCGTCGTTTACAGGCAGTTGAGTTTACAGTCGTTTTTTTTGAACACACCAAACTTGCGTTCAGGAGTAGACTTTACCGGCGCTTCAAACGTCAAACGTTTGTAAACACGTGTAAACGCGGTTAACTGCATTTATAAGCATTTGCGTTTAGAAGCGTTTTTTAACTGTTCCATGTCCAGATGCTGTCCAGAGCCTTTTTTCATCATCAGAAATGCATGCAAAGCGTTTTCCAGGTACTCAAATGGACCCAGTACACCAGAGCAGTCAGTTACAGGTTTCACGTGAAGGAAAAAATGTTAGAACGTGCCGCTTTATGCTCATGATGGGATCTATAGTGAATACAACCAGAAAAGACAGGTCATCTCAACACATACTGCTCTCTCTGCTTCTGCTCTCTCTATTTCTCTCAAAATGTCTGAAATAGTTAATTACTGGGCATTTTGGAAGGTCTCCTGAGGATATCTTTTAACATCGCTTCTAGACACAAACGCAATATGCAAACCCAGCTAAACTGACATTTTTAACCTACGTTTTCCAGCAGTTTCCATCATTCAGAAGAGTTTTCCAAACATCCCTTGTACATGAGCCCTTAGACTCCCTGCCTGTACACTTTGGGGGAAGGGGCCACCTAATGGCCAAACTGGGAATTGTACTAACACGCCCTTACACAGCAACAGGGTTTTTGGATGTCTACATAAGGGTAACTTTTACAGGCCTAAAATACATCAAATACACATATAACATTATGGGAAGATGTTTGTTGAAACGAATGGTCTGTTGACAGGGTCACTTCAAGGATAACACCTGCTTTAATTTAGTAAGCATGGTTTCTTGAGGACAACTTCCCTCCTGTGCCATCACTTGTACCTCTCATATTAGATTAGTTTTATCATTAAGAAGAGCCTTTGAAGGTCAAGTGCAGGAGGTATATTTACTGCCCTGCCAGGTAGTGTCTATGCCTGTCCATGTCTAAGGCATATATTCAGTTTGTACATAGTTCTAATAACCATACATCAACAGCGGGTAGGAGGTCAGAGCTGCTAGAGTGGGATCAGAGGAAATTGGTTTGTTTAAGTACAGCTGATCTCAAGAAATGTTTACAGGAACTGCTGGAGGAAAAAAAAAGCATTTAAAATGCAAAAAGCTGCATTGTGTAAATCAAATTTACAGTGTGGTTCTTACACAGCTCTCGGAATGGCTGAAGTATGCAGACTGAAATGACTTAAAGCGGTACTAAACCCATAAATGTATTATAACGCATCTTACCAATTCTTAGATGTGATGGCTGCATTTGTTTTCTTTTTTAGGCTTTATTTTCCTTTATTTTCACATGGTGGTTCAAGCCAACAAGTCTGTTATTTTTCAATTTCTTTTAAAAGACCAGCAAAAGTGACAGTTCGAGGGAGGATCATTTAACACAGGGGTGCTTACAATGATCAGCTTTTACCAATTTGTATAAAACCTTTAACCCAAAAGAAAAAAAATAACTGTTGCTGTAACTGCTTAACCACTTCCCGTCTGGCTCGTGTATATAAACGACCAAACGGGAGCAGTGCAGGGTCGGGTTTATAAATGTCCTCCCCGCTCCCTGCTTGTGCACGCTCCCTGGGATCACGCAGCACAGCGATCCGGTGCCCACTGTGTCCTCCTGACACAGTGGAACATCAATTGTACGGGACCTCTGTGTGAGGTCCCAATCACATGATCACTGATTGGCCAATCAGTGATCACATGAAGAGTAGTAAGCAAGAAGTCACTTCTGACATCATTACTACATGTGAAATCTGTGAATGATCACAGAAATCACATGGTACAAGGCTAGTCACAGCAGCCTTGTACCATGTGACAGGCTGTGACCAATCACAGCTCTCACAGTATTTCTCAATGGCTGCAAGAATGCAGCCAGAGAGGAGACATGATTGCTTATATAACCTTTATGGGTGTAAAAACAATGTGTATAAAAAAAAAAAAATCTTCATCACCCCCCACAAGTAGTACAGTGTCACTATGGTGACACTATACTGCTAGGGTGAGAGTATGTAAAAAAAAAAACAAATAATAGTATAAAAAAAAATAAAAATGTAAAAAACATTTAGAAAAATTATAATTTTTAGTTATAAACTAATTTGGTTGTTTTTTTTTACTAAAAAGATAACTGAATACATTTTGGCCAAGATTTATGAAGAAAGATTATTTATTTGCAAACTTTTATAAGAAAAAAACTTTTTTTTTCAAAATTTTTGGACTTTCATTTATATAGCAAAAAAAAAAATTCCCAGCGGTGAATAAATACCAGCAAAATAAAGGTTTTATGTGTCTCAAAAAAATGTTAAATAATTCATATGGGTACGGTGTTGCATGACGCGCAATTGACATTTAAATTGTGATAGCACTGAAAGCTGAAAATTGGCCTGGACAGGAAGGGGGTAAAAGTGTCCGGACTTGAAGTGGTAAAAAAGTGGTAGCAGGAGTTCAGGTTTAGTTTGTTAGTCAAGTCCATTTAAATCTGCTAAAGAATCTAATACGGTCTTCTTCATAGTCTGACAACGTGGCTGTGCAAAGGTGTCTCCATTGTTCCTTCATCCACAGAGGAGACATCCTATGACAGGAAGTGTGTTACTGGCTGGGTCACCAGGTGAAAAAAAAGGAATAAAAGCTTAAAAAAACTAATGCAACCACCACATTTAAGGATTGGTAAGCAGCAGTGTAGTACATTGTTGTTTCTGAGTTCAATACGCTGTACTGCACTACCTTACAGTACTGCAATTACCAGATCACCTGGTTAAGACGGGACACCAGATAGGAAACGGATCATCTACACTAGACTCCTGGTAGATGTGTGTGTTAGAGAAGAACTTCAGGAATAATTTACAGAAAGCACTTGATTTATTCATTATTATCTTTGTGTTACCCTTGTACATTCATAATTTATTTTGTGTTCCTGATGCAGTTTTATGCTAGGTTCACACCTATGCAGGTTGCGTTTGACACGTTTCTGCATTGTGCTTTGCGTTGCATTTTTTATGCGTTTTGCGAGGGGGGGGGTCATTTTTGTTATTTTTCTTGTTGCTAGGCAGATTTAAAATGCAAAACACATCAAAAACCCACTACATGTATGTTGCAAGCTCTGTTAGATGCAGAGTTACCGATTTCAGCTCCTGAGGAAAATGGTGGAGGGCAAAGGAGCTTTGAAAGCTTGAGCTGCTGATGACTTTTCCATGGATATGGCTTCTTGCAAAGCTTGAAAGATGCAGAGTAGCGGCTTTCAGCCATTAAGGACTCCAAGTGGCAGAAAAAGCCTAGAGAAGAGTGCCCCGTGTGAGGATCGAACTCACGACCTTCAGATTATGAGACTGACGCGCTACCTACTGCGCTAACAAGGCTGAGTGCCAAAGGGTGTGCACTTGTCTCAGCTGCAGCATTTCCATTGAAGCCTATAGAATCAAAAACGCAACTTTTTGCATTAAAAAAAGGCCCTGACCCTTTCCAAAAAACGCACGGGGTGAAAACACGGAGATGTGAACCTGTCCCATAGGAAATCATGTTAAATATACTGTACTGCATTTATGCAAAACGCTGTGGAAAACGCTTAGGTGGGAACCTGGGGTTACAGGCTCTGCAACAAACATTGACTGAGAATGCAATAAAAGCAAATGCAGCATGTTTTTTCTTAGCCAATCCTGTGTGTTGCCCATGCAGGACTTTAGAACAGATGAACATTTCTACTGAAATATGTCCCTTGTGCTCATTTTTTTAGTGTATTGTGGGCACTAACAGCTCTTCGCCCACAAAGGTAGGTACAGCAGGGACCAGGGGAAGGGGGAGGTGTAGGGTGTTTGCTCATTCATTTTTTTTTTCCTTGGGGAACTAACCCTTTAAGTGTACTAAAGCCCCAGGACTGCTTTTAGAGGAAACATTGAGATTTTTCTATACCTTTAGCTGCCTGGATATACTTTTCATTTTGTACTATAGGTTACCTCTGCTTAAACTGATTGTAAATGCTCACATTTTCTAAAAATAACAAACATGTCATACTTACTTGCTCTGTGCAATGGTTTTGCACAGAGTAGCCATGATCCTCCTCTTCTTGGCTACTACGTCGGTGCTCCTGGCTCACCCCCCCCCGGCCCACTGAGTGCCCTGATAGCAAGCTGCTTGCTCTTGGGGCACTCATGAAGGCTCGCTACCAAGCCCCGCCCTGTGTGTCCATTGACACACAGAGTGTGGCTTGGCCCTGCCCCTTGCTCCCTCCTCACTGGCTGCGATTGAAAGCAGCAGGAGCCAATGGCGGGAGCCTCTGCTCTCGTGCACATTTCTGGATTGAGATTGGGTTTAGGTAATTATAAGGGGGAGTGATGCAAGCAGAAGGTTCATTACCTTCATGAAGAGAATGTATTAAAGTAAAAAACCTTTTAAAACAATTTAACCCCTTCCCGCTGCTGCTTCCTGGCCAGGGGCGGACTGATAACTCATGGGGCCCCCGGGCAATAGGGGATCATGGGGCCCCTGTGTCCTTGCCCAAACTCAAAAAAGCCTATGAGAAAGGTACCAGGGGTATCTCATGGGGCCCCCTACTGACCTCGGGCCCTCGGGCAGTGCCTGAGTTTCCAAATGGTCAGTCTGCCCCTGTTCCTGGCCCTACATGAGGATCTAAATGCCGGGAGGCGGTCGCACAACCAGAAAGCTCCCAATTGCAGGTATGCATCAGGAGTTTTCCGGTACCCGATGGTTACTGTGCCGGGAGCACACCCTCGACAAAGTAAAGTGTTTACCTAGGGCTTCATATATGTGTCTGCTCAGTGTTAAAGCCCACCTCCGAGAGGCTACATATATGCGCCAGGTCAGTGGGAAGTAGTCAAGGTTAAGGTTTTTTCCTATCCTTTGCTCTGTTTGAATTGCCCAAGTTTGTAGCAGGTTTACTTTAAGACATCTGCACCCTGATACCCTGCCCTAATACTTACAATGGCAGTAGATAGGCTGCTTTCACATCAATTACTTTTTCTTCTGCTTTTGCATTTAAAAAAGCAGAAGCAAATGTGTGACCGTGTATTCCTATGGAACTCTTCACACTGATCCATTGCAGGTTCTTGTTTGCTGCATTTTTGGTGCAAGTTTGGTGCTGTAACAAAATTGCACCAAAAACATACCTCCCCATTGAATAAATGGAAAATTCGGCAAAAAACAGATAAAAAATGCACCCACGGTGTGTTTTTGGTGTGTTTTTTGGGTCATATGTCCTGTAAAAAATACAGTAAAAATACAGCAAAAATTCAGCAAAAACACAGTAAAAAAGAGGAAAAACATGGAAAAAAATGCTAGGATCAGTGTGAAAGTAGCTCAAAAGGGTTAAAGACACTCTGTTAAAAAAAATCCCCCTGTACAAAAACACTACTGCTGACTAGTTCTGTGCTCCAGTCTTTTCTAACTTTCAAACACATTTTTGGTGTGTTTGTTAACCTGCATTTCTCTCTGCGTAGTGTGGTTCATCCCATTGCATCAATAGTGCATTAGCCTTTCCCTTCAGCTCCCGGATGTGTCTGCTGCTGTAGATTCATATGGACTTACTAGCTTTGCAAGAGCATGAAGATTTAACAGAAATGACCAAACCACAGCTATTAGGGTTCAGGTAGGGGAAGGGTTAATAGCTGGGGTCAGTTTAAGAGCAAAGTTTGGATTAGATCAGGGATTCAGTAATATATGGAGAAAGGGGCGGACTGACAATTCATGGGGCCCCCGGGCAATAGGGGATCAGGGGGCCCCTGTGTCCTTGCCCAAACTCAAAAAAGCCTATGAAAAAGGTACCAGAGGCATCTCATGGGGCCCCCTACTGACCCCGGACCCTCGAGCAGTGCCTGAGTTTCCAAATGGTCAGTCCGCCCCTGTATGGAGGTCACTCTGTATTATATGATGTTTTTCTGCTGAAAGTTCCTCATCAAGAATAACACAATGTCCTCCTGATGCCAAACACTAATTGAGTCTTGGCTAGTAGTAATTAGTTATATTCAGCTGCACTTGTTCTATAAAGTCAAAGACATTTTGTAGCTTCTCCAATTCAGTTCTAATGAGTGTCAGGTTAGATACCCCTGCATTTATATCCACACAGGGAGCACCGACACCTTAATCCAATCATTACAGAATGTGTAGATGGTGATTGTCCAAGAACAGGGTGGGAAGCATGGAAGATGTGCAACCACCCTGTACTAGTTACATAATCCCATCCTTGGTGTTAGGAAGTGTAGATAAGTGTTATCTCCTAAATCTACATGGCTAAGGGTGTGAATTATTGTCAAATAGCTGGGTTGGAGGTGTTAAAATGGCATTGTATATGGAAGACAGATGGTGTTGAAAGCCCCCACATCTGTTCAACCATTCTAACGCGCCTCTACCTTGGCAATCTGACAACAATTTATATCTTTAGCTAAATAAAAGTCCAGGGCACCCAGCTGAAAATGTGGGTCACCTTCTGTGGGTGTCTGATGCTTGTTACTTCCCCATTCCCAGTTATAGTTATGAGTCCATCCCTTTTGAAAACAGGGGGACAAATTGTGTTTCATATTGAATCAATACAGGACTGGAGATTTACCTGAGAACCAGGCTGATCCTATATTTTACAGGCAACCATATTCCTGCATAATCTGTGTGGATATAAATGTTGGGGTATATTCCTGACACCCATGAGAATTGAAAACATGGCTACAAAGCTACAAAATGTCCTTAGAACTGAAGACATGGCTACAAAATGTCCTTAGAACTGAAGACGTGGCTACAAAGCTACAAAATGTCCTTAGAACTGAAGACATGGCTACAAAGCTACAAAATGTCCTTAGAACTGAAGACATGGCTACAAAATGTCCTTAGAACTGAAGACGTGGCTACAAAGCTACAAAATGTCCTTAGAACTGAAGACATGGCTACAAAGCTACAAAATGTCCTTAGAACTGAAGACGTGGCTACAAAATGTCCTTAGAACTGAAGACGTGGCTACAAAGCTACATAATGTCCTGAACATTAAAGTACAAGTCTAGTTGAATGTGACCTAATACAAATAGCTATACCAATGGCTTGGATAAATGAGAACCTTCGCAGACATAATTAAAGTGGTTGTAAACTCTTACATATACCCAGTGAAGTGATTGGCCTCAGGTGATACACAGAGATGAAACAAATCCTCCTACATACGTTGTACCTGTCTATCTGCAGTATTCTCCTCTAGGTTCAAAGTCCAGAATTCATAAATCTTGTCTGAGAGTTCAGAAAACAGGAGGCGGAAAGCTGAAATTACACACTGCAGAGCTCAGTGAGGAGAGTCTGAGAGCTGATTGGAGAGAAGAGACACACACCCCTCCACACAAGAACAGAGCTGAGGCTGTCAATCTGCTGGAGGTCCCTCCCCTGTCACCTTTTTTCTCTTGGTGTCAGGAAAACTTGTCAGAAGTGATTCATGCTGATAGCAGAGGAGCAAAGCATCAGGCAGAAATGACACTTAGTGCTCTTAAATGAGACAAGTACACACTATACTGTAGAGAGATATGTTTTTTTTCATATTTCAGTTCTGAGATTTACAACCATTTTAAGTCTTGTGGTGTAAACTTTTATGACAGCTGTACAACTGTGTATGTGCCTTGCATGTTAACATGGGGCAAAATGTGATGTGTATGTGCTTTGCTGTGTATTGCCATTAATTGTTAACAGCATCCAAATATTATACATGGTGTGCATAATACGGAATACATGCATATTGTAGCATAGTTCTTGGTAGTCAGATGTACGTTGAGGGTCCAAATAAATATAAGCATGTCAATGCATAAGTAGAAGAATTCCAGGTGTGGATTTTATTACTTAGTTACATTGGTCCAGCTTGGATCAATGTAACTATGTATGTACCATGCCTGTGGTGTCCATCTAGAAGATGGACACCATACCTGTGGTGTCCATCTAGAAGATGGAAATCACTCTAATAGACACTGCTATTCCAGTGATCTCCACTAGCTTCCTGGTCCTGTCCTGAGCAGATGACCTACTGCATTCTGAACACAGGAGGAGGGACTTTCAGCAAGGGCACCATACAGAGATCGCTTCATATTCTCTCAATGAATGCAAAGCATTCTCTTATTGGAAGAGAAGGAGAGGCAGGGCAGTCATGTTCTCCATGCAGTCATGTTCTACATTCAGGCAATCTCTGAATGTTCACAATACATCAGGCAGGCCGCTCAGCACAGGACCAAGAAGCTGGTGGAGATAACTGGAGTAGTGGTGCCTACAACAGTGATTTCTGGCTTCTAGAGCCCTGGTGACCAACCTGCCATCTGAGGGCCGCATGCGTCCCTTTGGTTTATGACGTGCGGGGCCTCAGACCTCAGCAGTCTGTAGTGGGAACATTGATTAGGGTAAAAGCATCGATCTCTACCAGCCTCATGTAACATATTCCCAGTTTCATATTGTCTTCTGCAGCCATCCCCAGCCAAAATGTATCCTGTCCACACTCCCTGACCTTCATTTCCTCTACTAGGTCTAGTCTTTGACAGTCCACTCAAGCATTATATACATTGATCAATATGTGCGGCCCTTTGGTGGTGCCAGGGGCTGCATTTGAGGCCCCCTTTAGCTCATAAGTTGACAACCACTGGTCTAGAGGGATCCCACAGCTATGGTATATGTATAGTTACATTGATCTAAACTGGGCCAATGTAATTACGTAAAAATATTCATACCTGGAATTTTTCTTTAACCCTTATGTCTTTGTGCTTTTTTGCACAAATCTAGATCCACAGTCATGCTGGAACATAGCAAGGCCTTCCAAAAACTGTTGTGACAGGTTAGACATGCACAATTGTCTGAAATGTCTTGTATGCTATTATCCACTTCACTGGAAGTCCACAAATTTGGAGGGTTGCCCACATGCATTTGTCCATATAGTGTCTGTATTACTGAATTTTAGTTTTCCCTGGAGCTCTCCTTTACTGGACTGAAATGTTACCTTGTCAGTGCTGGACTGCAAGACACAAAATCACCAACTTGTCCGTAGGTGGCGCCGTTGCTCTACCTTCTGCATTACACAATAGCATGTTTGTTAAATATCTATTGATTGATGCAGTTTAATTGGGCCTGTGTAGAGAGGATTAGGGAAAATGAGCTTGTGCATCAAACGTCATGAAAGAAACAGTTTCATAAATCAAAAACCAGAATGACTGAAATTTAACAAGCGGCGGCACACTGAATGCCTCCAAAATGATGTTTTAAAGCGTCTATCATTACAATTTTTTTTTCTTTTTTAAATCTGACATGTAGCGCGGGACACGGATGATACATTTTAAAAGCTTTTTATATTGCTTTTACACAGAGTGCACATCCTGCTTTTAAATAATTTCAGTTATGACAAGCTGAGCCAGAAGTGTGACTACCTATGCGCTGACATGTTGATTGCTTTTATCCAGTTCACTTCCAATATGACCCGACGGTAAGAGCGTGGTCATGCTGTGACAGAGCGAATAACACATTCAACGCACCTTTATAGAAAGATAAATGAAAATCTTTTT